AGACCTAACATAGTAGCCATGACATTTAGTAATCATTTACCAAGATCTGTCATGTGAATTAAGAATGAACAATAACCTTCATTTCTGTCCTCCCTCCCGGTTATCCGGCTTACTTCCACAAAAAGCTTCTATACCCCGAGTCTGCCCGCCCCCCTACACTTTTTGAAACGTTCGTACGCCTATGAAAGCACAGTAGACATATAAAAGCACACAAAAAAATCAAACAAGAGACGCCCGTGGGGCACATTAGCTGGCAGGCGACAGCGGACGTCGGCGCGATCTTGACGGACGGACCGGTCGTCGGTCACGCCTACGACCGTCCCGCGCTCGGCCGGCAGATCCAGTTGGCCAAGACCGGCTTGTCCACGTCCGAGATGTTCACCTACCCCGCTGTAGGTCAGGCAGCCTGCCGCAGAATGATATCGTTCACCACCGCCCGGTCTCAGAGCACGCACCAGCCAGCGGCGAAGACGAGCTCGCAGAGTTGGCAGAGGTGGTCGCGCGGCAGCTGCAGTTGCCAGTCCCCTTGGCTAAAGCGTAGCTGCGGCAGCCAGTCCTCTCGGCCAACCGCAGCTGCAGCACCCAGTCCCCTCGGCTGAAGCGCAGCTGCAGCAGCCAGTTCTCTCTGTCAAGTGCAGTTGCGGCAGCCAGTCCTCTCGGCTAAAGCGCCGTTGCGGCAGCCAGTCCCCTCGACTAAATCGCATCTGCAGCAGCCAGTCCTCTCGGCTAAAGCGCAGCTGCAGCAGCCAGTCCTCTCTGCCAAGCGCAGTTGCGGCAGCAAGTCCCCTCGGTTAAAGCACAGTTGCGGCAGTCAGTCCTCTCGGCTGAAGTGCAGCCGCGGCAGCTGGCGGAGCGGCCCCTGTGCCAGCAGCGTCATGGCCTCCATCGGAGAGGGGTTACAGCAGCTGCCGCCGTAGCCGTCCGTGTGCGCCACACCGTCATTCCTGTCGGCCGTCGTGGCCGTCGCCACCGCCGCGCAGTTTGAGGAACAGATAGGAGACGTTTCAGTTCATCGCATGCGCAGCTTTATAAGTTAATGTGTCGCATAGACGATGTAGTGTCAAATGGCATGAAACGAAGCCAAATTACTATTGCCGCACCAACTGCCACATGCTTTACTTAGAAACCAGCGTAATGTTTAAAAGCAGGGCAGGAGTGTAGGGTCGCAAAATAACGTGGGGGAGGGGCTGAGTACGGACAATGTCTAAACCTGCCTCCAGCATGCGTTAAAAGCGAGCTTGTTACAACTGCTCCGATCATATCGTACTTCAAGATACCGGAAACTACGATAGGAAACCTGACGCGGGGTAGCTTTGAAAAGTGGCTGAACGAAAGGGACAGAAAACATTTGGAAGCGACCGCTTAACATGAGAAGCGTAACGTCGTTCCCGTTGCGGCTTTCACGGATTTGCATGGTCATAGAATGCTACCCATGTGATGGTCTCATTTCAAACCCCCGCTCCTATGCATGCTCGCTCATTCAGGGAGGCAGGCGCTCCGAGACAGCATTTAGCTCATCTACCAATGGCATAACCGATTACAATGCGATCGATGGCACGCATACGTGCTGTCATTTGGTTGCTGTTGCTGTCAACACCGCCTTTCGGATTTCGTCGTCTGGATAATGCGGACAGCGTCTACGCCGAGTTCATAGACGGGTCTACAACGATACCACAGGACTCGGAATGACCTTGACGCCATTATATATATATATATATATATATATATATATATATATATATATATATATGTATATATATTATTGTGTGTGTGTGTGTGTGTGTGTGTGTGTGTGTGTGTGTGTGTGTGTGTGTGTGTGTGTGTGTGTGTGTGTGTGTGTGTGTGTGTGTGTGTGTGTGTGTGTGTGTGTGTGTGTGTGTGTGTGTGTGTGTGTGTGTGTGTGTGTGTGTGTGTGTGTGTGTGTGTGTGTGTGTGTGTGTGTGTGTGTGTGTGTGTGTGTGTGTGTGTGTGTGTGTGTGTGTGTGGTGTGTTGTGTGTGTGTGTGTGTGTGTGTGTGTGTGTGTGTGTGTGTGTCATTAAGAGTGATGGGAGGCGAAACAAGGTGGAGTTATGAGAAGGTCAGAAACAGAGGCATGGGGCGAGTTCAAACTTGGAAGGAAATAGAAAATGGGTTGACTTCCCTCTCTCATGTTTCCACCGGCTTTTGGCCACTTCATTTTCACATCAGGTAAATGGGATTTGTCTATTATGATAGCTGTATATGGTATTAACAAGTGCCCTGGTACCATTTAAGCATGACCCATGCCATGAGCCATGGTATTGAGCCTGTTTTATTTGAAATGTTACACTCGATTGCATCTGAGAGAATGTTCGATACTTGAAGATATTGAAGCAAGCATTAGAAAAATGAAATAAGCTCATTTATACCTATTGATACGCGGTTAATTAGAAAAAATGCTCCAGACAACAAGATATGCTATCCAATACGCCATTGTTTGGTTGTGTCAGCAGCCATTTGTAGTCCTTCGATCTTCCGTGAGATGGCAGTATGGGCTGGAAGTGTTCGCTGAGCCTTTCCTCGTGGTGTTCTTGCATATTTCTAAGTGAGTTTTAGACCTTGCTTACTTACTTACTTACTTGCATTCACATACTCGGTCATAGCTCTACTCACTAAAGGGTTTAGGTCTTAAAAATGCAGAACTGCGAACTGATTAAATGATCTTCAATATTACTATTTGAAATCAAGACCCGTCCCCCCCCCCCTATAAATGTGAAACACTCCCTTTAATTGTACAATATTGTTCATCATATGCATATTACGATCCATTAGCTATCTGTTTAAGATAATAGAAGATGGCCCACGCGTTCCATGTGCCCCTATACTATATATACAAATATCATCAACAGAAGAGAGCGTATTGTATATACAGAGGCATATATATACATGTATATATATATATATCTCTCTCTCTCTCTCTCTCTCTCTCTCTCTCTCTCTCTCTCTCCTCTCTCTCTCTCTCTCTCTCTCTCCTCTCTCTCTCTCTCTCTCTCTCTCTCTCTCTCTATCTCTCTCTCTCTCTCTCTCTCTCTCTCCTCTCTCTCCTCTCTCTCTCTCTTCAGATCGATAAATAACACAACAAATAATGATGCCAGAAATGCCTCATTTCTTTCACATCGAAGTTGATCATGAGTGGATAGTCGTGAAAAGTTTGGCCGATTATCAACTGCACCTTCACGTCACTCCCGTACTAACTCCGCGTTATTGCTGCAGTAACCCCGCGTTATTTTCGTTTTCGGCATTCTAGTTAACCTCCAAAGCACTGCTGGCCGTTGAAGTGGTCAGATTTAATCTGAATGACAGGCGCCATCGAAATATCACGAGAAGATTGTTATGCCACTGTATCGACACCTTGTACCTTTCCAGCTATTTGTTGCTTCTAGTCGTGATGGTTACCCAGCTCAGACTGAGGGTCCATTTATAACCTGGTCCGCGACTCGTCAGCAAATTAAGAGCAGTCACATTGATGTACAGCTGTTCTTTGCATTGCCGCTTTTTCCATTGTTTTCACACGCTTTTATCTATTACTTTTTTATTCGATGTTACGAAGAGAGTCGCCTTTTATCCCTGTTGACCTTTTGCCGTTCGACCTTGATCGTTCGACTTTTTCATTTTACTTTTTGCTCGGATGCTCTATGCACATGTCCCAAGGCTCCTCACTCAGAAGATTCGGAAGCCTGCATAGGGTCTTGCGATGATTAATCAAAGAGGAAATGGACAAGTTGTAAGGCCCCTGGACAGTAAGAGAGGCATTACAGTGGCCGGGGGTTGGGGGCGAGAGGCTATATGGTAATAGGAAGAGAGAGAGAGAGAGAGAGAGAGAGAGAGAGAGAGAGAGAGAGAGAGAGAGAGAGAGAGAGAGAGAGAGAGAGAGAGAGAGAGAGAGAGAGAGAGAGAGAGAGAGAGAGAGAGAGAGAGAGAGAGAGAGAGAGAGAGAGAGAAAGAGAGAGAGGGAGAGAGAACTTTAGGCGCTTATTGCGACTCCTTAGCGCTCGGGGGGGGGGGGGGGTGCTGAGCGGTCAAGGTGGTTTCACGAGGAGCCAAAAGGGCTCGTGGGCATTACGTCAGTCGATCGAAATAAGATACACTGAACGACCAAAACTCACCACAACAGCTACCTAGAGACGAGATCGTAAGTGTCCAGAGGATCCTGGGGAGGACGACCAAGTGGGCCGCAGAGCACCCCGTGGACCCTGGACAGCTAAAACGACCCATGAGCGGTTGAAGGGGCCCGGAGCACACAAAGAGTCATCAGCGTTTGATGCGGCCGCTCTGATACCAAACAGACTCTGAGTATTCTCGGGAAGATCCCTTTGGTGTCAATGAGAGACTTTGGAAGGTCAGGGGAGCACCAAGTAGCTATAAATGCCCTCAAGAGACCAGATGGCCGCCAGGCGGCTACTGAGCGCCCAGAGCAGGGGCAGCAGAGGCAGTACGGCGCTGCGCGAACTTGTTGGTTGGCAAAGAAACTCCTACCGACGCTCTAGTTCAGTGTGGTGGTTCCTCATCTCACTGCACGAACCGAGAGGACCTGTCCCACGGGCGCTTGCCTGCGCAGCCCACCTCCACTGCTGGACGCTCCCTACGTCTTCCACTCAGGGTTTGCGCAGGCTCGAACGGATATGGACCCTCGACCCCCGCGGGATCCCCAGCCATGTCACCATAGGTGATGATGTGACTTTGCGCTTTTATGGATGTGGCGTATCTGAGAATGCACCTCTTCTACCCTTTGGCAAAGCCGATATCATTTGTCTGGTCAACACTTGCATTTGAGTGCCATAAACTGAAGGCGTCGCTTTAGCACTACAGCCACCTATAGCTTGCATCAGTTTGGGGATTGGCCACAAATTGTCTCGCGATCAGACGTTGTCGGCGTACCATGATGAGACTCTGTAACGTCGCCGCGATTAGCTATCACGCCGGACTGTTCCGTAAGCCCGATCGGCCAACGCGCGGTGGCGCTATAAAGCTGCGGCTCGGGCGGAGTCCCGTGTCAGTGGTGCGCCCGGAGTCACCATGCGGTCGCAGATCCTGCTCACCCTCTGCTTGGCAGCCGGTGAGTGCTGGCGATTGATATCAGATCAACAAGGCGGACAGCCACCGTGGCCGAAGCGATTGCTAGCAAATAGTTGCAGGCTCTTTTGGCTTTCGATTGTTGTGCCGATGGCTGAAGTGCTTTTGCCTACTGCACAATTTCAATATGTGGTGTGGGGCAACCCATGAGTGCGAAGGCAAATCATAAAAGAACTGTTTTAAAGATGTCAACTAAGGTATAGCAAACGTTAATAATGCATCCCAGACAACCCTCCCTCTTTGTGTCGCCGGTACCTAAATGGGTATGTCTTTGCATGGCATCGTATGCCATCGTGCTATAATGCACAGGATAACGGCATAGCTCAGTTGCGCAAGAGTTACGCAAGGTGTTTGTGAGTGCACCTTTCAATGGCACTTGTCTCTGTATCAGCCTGGCCAAACACGTAAGCTCACCTTGGGATGTAGATAACGACCAACTAAAGCTGACTGCAACAGCTTTCAGACCCCATCAGAGTCATGAATCATTTCTCATGCACCTCTTCAGTCAGTTTTTTAGAGTTAGTGAATAAAATGAGCTTGTGCAAATTTGACAGCGCAGCTGGAGGGCAAGTTTTCCGGTTGAGGTTTACGCTAGATCGCATGTGCAATAAATATTTCGTCAACACGTTAACCAGTGATATCTGGGCGTTAGGTTTTCTCTTCCGAAATTGTCGTTCTCAATACGTCACAGAAGACATACATTATGCCGTTGCTGCCAAATACAACGCTAACGCCGTGGAATATGCAGTGATGTTTCCTTTTGTCACCTTTCGTCAATATGCCGTGTGTTATCCTATGGTGGCGGCTCCTATGAACACACGCTATATTTGTCCTCGTCTGGGGCCCCATTTCATCTGTTATTGCCTGCGTGTCATGCACTGACACCTCCAAAACGCATTCTGAACGTTCGCCTAATACCATTCACACTGGCCGGTGCCCAATCCCACTCAAGCAGCCTAAACACTGGCTGGGCTATTTGTTTGCCGCTTGGATGTCTCCTCGGCCCAGCTTCCGTGCGTGGTACCGCGTCGGCCATGGGCTGTGTGGCCGCCGGCACCGGCCGCCGCCTGCCCGTCCCGGTATCTCGCTCGGACGGCGCCGGGCGCCCGCGTATCCGGGGTGCGGGGGAGGTCAGAGCGGAGGCACTCCGTCTCTCGAGTGTTTGCCTCCGGGGCACAGAGCGTCGCAGCGCTATCGCTGCCTGACGGCTCGGATTAGCGCCCGTCGGGTGTGGTGGGGGGGGGGGGGGAGGGCACGCCGCCGTCGGCTGACCTTGCGGGTTTCTTCTGAGGCCTCTGGCAACGCATGGCTCATTTCTGGCGTTTGCGACTGTTTACCTACCGACGCAAATGGTTGCCATGACTACGGGTAGCACTTCAGTTTTTCAAAACCATGGTAAGGAAATGCTGCTCGTGGCGGGAATCGAACTCAGATACCTTCATCTAAACAGCGTCAATATCATACCTTCATGTCTGGCACCCTCACCAATGCAGAGTGTGGTGACCTACAGGATATTTAGGCCTAGCACACCATGCACTCTATTGACGAGGATTTGCAATGGAGGGGTCATGAAGTGGGACGGAGTGATGTGGAGTGGCCGGTTCTTCACGAAGATCCGCAGTTTTATCCTGGGTCGGCGGCGTATCGTGGCGCTCGCTTCACGGATCGGCGGTCTACAACACCAAAGCAGCGCGTCTCTGAGCGGCCTCCACCCTGTTGTGCTGTCGACAGGCCTGCAGGCGGCGCCCGAGCGACCGGAGGGAGGCCTCTCATGCCCCCGCTCCCAGGGCCTCTTCGCGCACCCCTTCGACTGCAGCAAGTTTCTGCACTGCGACCATGGTCATCCGTACGTCAAGGACTGCCCGGCCAACCTGCACTTCAACCCCAAGATCATGGTGCGTATAGCTCCGACGCCGTCTCCACTCAAGGGTAGGACGTCTCGAAAGATCGGCAAGGCGCCACAAATATCTGTAAAGTCAACCCATTCCACGCATCACGAGTGGCACCACAAGTTTAAAACCGAGCGTTTGTAAAGGACGGTGGGCCGTGCTATGCCAACTTTTGGTGAACGCTTATTTCCACGTCTGTGCGTCCGCCTTGGAAGCCCCAGGCCTGATTGTGGATCAAAGTCTGCTGAGGCTTTACCAATGGTGTTTTGCAGTTGTAGCTTACACGTTCCATGAGTAAGGGCGTCCCAAAATGCAACATGTCAGCGGCTGAAATCACGACTTTCGTACTATACATGCGTTGCCGTTCATCATTAATATGTGAAATAATGGGAAAGCATACGTATTAACAAATTACCTGCATCCCTACACGGACAAACAAATTCTTGCACAGCCCTTGGGTTATTAGGTAGTGGGCGGTGAGTACTATAGATATGATTGCGGCAATATGTTCTTGTCTTTGTTGTGTTTTTATTATGAGTGTTTTTTATGCATCAAAGTAAGGATAGGATTTCGTCTTAGTTTAACTGGTAAAGCTTCGTTCATCCTCTCCGCACTAAAGTATGTTTTCTAGATATGAATGCACAAGTTTCATCCTCAGAAACTCAAACCATATTTTTGTACCATTTAGACTTTTTCGATGATGAGACAGGATCTCAAGACGTAAGAATGTACAGACTGACGTGTATATATATATATATATATATATATATAGATATATTATATATATATATTTGATATATATATATATATATATATATATATATATATATACGTCATAACCACCCCTCACCCCCATAACCATCGAATGTACTTTTTTATCCGCCCAGGACTACCTTTATCGACACTTGCCGTTCTCACATTGCTACAACCCGGCGTTGTTCCGCCGCCCGCCGCTGGCTGTCAGCGGCATCGCCCGCTGGGCGTCGCCCTCATGGCGTCACGCGCTCTGATTGGACCGCCGGCGGTGGTCGGCAGGTGTGTGATTGGCCGGAGCAGGCGGGCTGCCGGCCGGGCACGCCCACCGACCCGCCCACGCCCGACGTGCCGCCTGAGCCCGGCATGGAGTGCGACTGCGAGTGCTGCCTGAAGCCCAACGGCGACGACTGCACCACCTTCTACCTGTGCAAGGTGGGTGTACAGGCCTGACCGGTCGCTGACTCCTGGCACTAGGGTGTGGACTGAGAGTATCTGTTCAACTGAAACAGGGCACGGATGGAATAGTTGTTCGGACTATCGTCCTGGTCTCGTGCGTTAGTATGCACACACACAACGCCTCGCCCAGTCAACTCTCAGGCCGTCGTCAGGTGTTTCTAAGTCCTAGACCATGGCCACCCGTACGTCAAGGACTGTCGGGCCAACCTGCAATTTTGTACTCAATAATACCCTGCCCTGCGAAGCCCAGTTGGTTGAGCACTGGGCTGGCAATTAGGAGACTCGGCTCGAATCCCAGCAATTCCAAGAATAAAAGTTGGGTTGGTGCGCGTACGTGGCTGAAAGCCAAGCGTCATCCAGTCCTCCGCAAGACTATTCTGTCCTTGGAATTGCTGGGATTCGAGCCGGGTCTTCTGATTGCGAGTCTAGTGCGACGACCGTCGGAGGTTATAGGGAGCCAGCCATCTTCCCGTGCTTCACACTTGCTGTTAGATCGGACGCGCCCGACTTAATCGGTGATGCCAGACTTCTCAACAAAAAAAGTTTGAAAAGCTCAAAATTTCGCTTTGAAGTAACCACTCCGACTCAAGAAATATAATTGGACTCGTAATACTTTTCTGCTGCATGGCGTTTCCCAACGTGTATTCTACAATATCACATTATGTTCGCAATCCTACGATCACTGACTTGTCAAAATGGTGCTCAAAATATCTACGAAAGCTTGAAACATTTCATTTCTGTAAAAGCATATACAAACATGAAGCTTTTATCACGCAAATTCAACGAAGCGTCATACTAAAGCTTTCATTTCCCCATCGCGTTTAAAACAGTGTCTCTTCGATGCGTTCTTTAGCTGCGGGAAAAGCATATCACAAGGTCTATATTGACGCACGGGTGCACACTTCAGCCAATGCGCTTCTCGGCAAATGGCCTGTATTCGAAGTCACATCGCGGCTGGACCACCCCACACACAACGGCGAACTGCCGCACGCAACGCCGACAGAGAGACTCCCCTACGCGCCCCGAGCAGCACCTCTTATCCTCCTTTCGAGCCCACCCGTACCACGATCGGCGTGCGACTCGCCGGCACCCCCGCGTCCCACCCCACCGCGTCCACGCCCAGTTTCCGTGCTGGCCGTAGGGCCGGGGTCGCAGGGACGGTAAACTAAACAAAACATAAATCTAAAGGGAAACTCGACAGGGGACAGCTACATGGCCCTCGCCGCCCGCTGTGCCAATCACATACATTTATCTTTAATGACGTCATTTATGCCAGTAGAGGTGCCCCTTTAGGACCCGCGTGCCCGTGATGCACGGGATTAAACAGCTCAAGCGTGGTATCTCAAGTCCGTAACAGCTGACGACGGTCTTTAGCAGATTCTGTCATCGTTATGACGTCGACAGTGTATATGATGACGGTAACCGCGACAGTCGCAGTTGTCGCAGACTAGGGCTACACTCTGGGGTTACCGACAAAACGAAATAATTGTGCTGCGACAAAATTTTGGCAGTGTGCTCCAGGAAAGAACCTAATGAAAAAGTGACCTCGTAAAATCTTCACGGTGGTTTAGTGTGGCTAGCCTGTGCAATCGTAAAACCTAACTGGTTCTGAGATTTCATCAGAGCATGTTTTTTAATTACGCTCCAAAGGTGGGACACTCTTTTCATTGGCCGAGGCATTATGTGTATGCCAACACGCCAGACGAGAGCGATGGTTCGGACCCTTGTTCCATCTGTGATGCTAATGCCTTGTCTCAATTATTCCGTAAAATTCCATTACGATTGTGTGATGACAAAATAACGCCGACGTCTGGCGGCTGCTGACCATCTCGCACTTTTCCAAATTGTCTCGAGATTCCAATCAAGCGTTGAAAGGATCGAAAGCGATTACTAGAAAGTTGAGACCTCTTCGAGCAGCTGAAAGCTTCGCCGATGCGCAGTGCGCCTCCCCGACGCCGACCTTGTGTCTTCTGTTGGATGAGATGTGATTAGCGAGGTCGTCAGCTGTGCACAGGTGGACAGATCTCTTGGTGGACCACTGGAGGAGTGTGATCTGAATCGGGTGAACGTTCGCCGCTGTTGCAGGATGGCAAGGCCTACCTGGAGACTTGCGCCACCGGCCTGGTGTACAACCCCAACATCCAGAACTGTGACCTGCCCAGCAATTACAACTGTGGTAAGAGGGCCGTCAAGGTCCGAGCCGGGAGGTCAGGTGGGTCAGGCCGGTGGGCGGCCGATGGGCCAGTGACCCGGGTGTGGTGGGCACTCACTGCGGCTGACCTTCTGTTCCAGGTGGTCCCGAGCCGACGCCCAGTCCGTTTGATTGTCCCACCGACGGACTGTTCCCCAATCCGGCCGACTGCCACACCTTCTTCCACTGCTCCAATGGAATCTCGTACAAGAAGAACTGTCCCGCTAACCTCGACTTTGACGCGCGGACAAAGCGGTGCGAGTGGCCAAACCAGGCCGGCTGCCGGTACCCAGCCTCGACCACTAAGAAGCCTCCCGAACCCACTACGCGCTCCACCACTACAACCAAAGGGCCGGACTTCGACTGCCCCACCGGAGACGGGCTCTTCCCCAATCCGGAGGACTGTCATACGTTCTTCCATTGTTCCAATGGAATCCCGTACAAGAAGGACTGCCCTGCTAATCTCGACTTCGACGCCAAGACGAAACGGTGCGAGTGGCCAGACCAGGCCGGCTGCCGGTACCCAGCCTCGACCACTCAGAAGCCGCCCGAACCCACCACGCGCTCCACCACTACAACCAAACGGCCGGACTTCGACTGCCCCACCGCAGACGGGCTGTTCCCCAACCCGAAGGACTGCCATACGTTCTTCCATTGTTCCAATGGAATCCCGTACAAGAAGGACTGCCCTGCTAATCTCGACTTCGACGCCAAGACGAAACGGTGCGAGTGGCCACCAGGCCGGCTGCCGGTACCCAGCCTCGACCACTCAGAAGCCGCCAACCCACCACGCCTCCACCACTACAACCAAACGGCCGGACTTCGACTGCCCCACCGCAGACGGGCTGTTCCCCAACCCGAAGGACTGCCATACGTTCTTCCACTGTTCCAATGGAATCCCGTACAAGAAGGACTGCCCTGCTAATCTCGACTTCGACGCCAAGACGAAACGGTGCGAGTGGCCAGACCAGGCCGGCTGCCGGTACCCAGCCTCGACCACTCAGAAGCCGCCCGAACCCACCACGCGCTCCACCACTACAACCAAACGGCCGGACTTCGACTGCCCCACCGCAGACGGGCTGTTCCCCAACCCGAAGGACTGCCATACGTTCTTCCACTGTTCCAATGGAATCCCGTACAAGAAGGACTGCCCTGCTAATCTCGACTTCGACGCCAAGACGAAACGGTGCGAGTGGCCAGATCAGGCCGGCTGCCGGTACCCAGCCTCGACCACTCAGAAGCCGACCAAACCCACCGCACCCTCCACCACTACAACCAAACGGCCGGACTTCGACTGCCCCACCGCAGACGGGCTCTTCCCCAACCCGAAAGACTGCCATACGTTCTTCCAGTGTTCGAACGGAATCCCCTACCTAATGGACTGTCCGGCCAACCTCGAATTCAACCCGGTCCTCCTCGTCTGCGATTGGCCAGAGCATGCCGGCTGCTCGAATAAGACCACACCCACTACGCCCGCAGTGTCCCCCACCACACCCCGCACGCCCGCTACCACTCCCAAACGGCCGGACTTCGACTGCCCCACCAGCACCAGCAGCGGGCTGTTCCCCAACCCGAAAGACTGCCATACGTTCTACCAGTGTTCGAACGGAATCCCCTACCTAATGGACTGTCCGGCCAACCTCGAATTCAACCCGGTCCTCCTCGTCTGCGATTGGCCAGAGCATGCCGGCTGCTCGAATAAGACCACACCCACTACGCCCGCAGTGTCCCCCACCACGAGGCCGGTTGTCACCACCACCAAGAAGGACTTCGACTGCCCCACCAGCAACGGGCTGTTCCCCAACCCGAAGGACTGTCATTCGTTCTACCACTGCTCGAACGGGTACCCTTACCTGAAGGACTGTCCCGCTAACCTTGAGTTCAACCCGGTGCTCTTGGTGTGCGACTGGCCCAATCACGCTGGCTGCGGCGGCCACCCGCAGCCCACGCCCGACTACCCGGTCACCACGCCGGTGCCCGACGACGACATCGTCTGCCCGAACAAGAGCTGCGCGTGCAGGTGAGAGCGCGCGGGCCGCTCGGCCTCGGCCGCGGGGAAGGGGCGCCTGAGCCTCGGCTGTTCCGTCTGGCAGGCGCCGAGCAGATCTCAGATGTGGTCATGTCATGTCAAGGTCTATTTCGATTTATCGGTCGATATATATATATATATATATATATATGTATATATATATATAATATATATATGTATATATATATATATGCATATATATATATATATATATATATATATATATATATATATATATATATAGACACACGACGCTCGTCAAAGGTCATGTGGGGCCGTCGACTGCTGCCTGACTGCTGTTCCGTGCTCCAGATCTCTGGAACGTACAGAAACGAGGGTCCATTTCTCTTTCACGCACAACTTAGCAGGTAAAACCAGGCGGCAAAATTCCGAGCTTTAAACTAAGCTCACTTTCGGTTTCTTCTTTCAGTAATGTCATGGAGGCGAGGACACTCCTCCGTTGAGCACTCCGTGTCTTGCCATTGGAGGGTTATGTGTCAAAGCGGATTTCGCCTGCCAGACGCGACAGCCGACTAGTTCAGGCACATTCTGTGATGACCTGGATCACGAGCTTGGTTATAGGCTAAGAATTGCATGCCGATGTACCTGTAGAAGTGCGTTTGTTTTTGTGTGGCTGGGATGTAGAGCCTCTTGGCTGGCAGCCATCCCCACCGTCCTGTCCTTGAACAGAGTAGGCTTTGGAGTGTTGGCTTTGGCCTTGTGCTGCTAGCAAGAACAATGCTGCTGTAACGCATGCCCGTTTTTGCGGGAAGTAAAGGCCTAAATATTAAGGTTCTAAGACGCTTGATTCGCTGGTCAGGAAAGTATTCCTTTGTATACGCTGATACGATTTTGTGCCGGTGGCACACGCAGGCCGCCGCCGCAATTTTGTGGCGACATCAACTCGTTTCTAAAAAAGCACTTCATATTTCCGTTGACCAGTATTTCAGCCGTCCTTACTGCCTGCTTTTAATAGAATGAAATCCGGTCCATTGCTGTTGTTGGCAGGTTAAGTATACACAGACGTGGGTAGAACTGTTGAAACGATTCTTCAGGATTTGTCAGCAGTGACAATCGGAAAGATGGCTGCCAGTCATTTTATGCAAGAGTGAAGTGGATGGCTAACTTACGCAAACA